AGAATGCTGAACGGCACTACTCTAGAGGCAGGTGAGTTTTCATATGCCAGGTTCCTTCTCATCTTCCTTGCCCTTTTCTTGGGCTGGCATGTATATCGTGTGTGCGTGTGTGTGCACGCGCGTGAGCGTGTCTTGTTGAATGGGACGAAGAAGAATGTGTGTCTCCTTAAAAAAAAAATTAAACTGGGGTTTGGAGGCTTGAAAACACACACCCTTGTTCACTGTCCTGATGGGGGCAGGATCCTGAACCGGCGTTTTCTTCCTTTTGCTTTTCTCATGAATGTCTTTGATTTTCCTCAGGATCCGGTGTTCTGGGCGCCGGGCAGAGGTCACGGTGCCACTGAGTCCCGAGTAGTCACTGATGTGAGGGAATCGCTCCCGACACTCCGCTGAGCTGTTGGGGGCGTCTCCTTGATCAAACTGATGGGAGGTGGGCTGGAAGGACTCCCATTCCCACCCTTGTAGGGTGGAAAACTGGCTTCACCCACCTTTTTGTTGTTGTTGTTGTTTTCAATCCTATTCCAACGCAGCGGTTTCTGCGCGTCATCTCCAGGGAGGCAGTGTAGGATTTACCCCTTTATTTCCGGGGAATGGGGAAGGTGATAGCCGGTGGCTCCACAAATCTCAGGTAAAAAGGCTTCCGATTCTAGAAGCGCAATATTTTTAGCCTTGGCAGTAGCCCTGTTGGAAAAAGCCTCAGAGGCCAAGGAGGACATAGATTTGAAGGGAGCAAGCAGCTGGTGGGTGGCTTTGAGGACGTGAATGGGCACAGAGAGCGTAGACCTGAGGGTCCTGACCCAGGAGTCCAGCCAAGCTAGCAGCACGCAAAGGTGCGCCGCTGGGCTGTGACCACGGGCTCCCCTCTCTAGGTAGCGGAACTCTCCCAGCGCCAGCTCTGCTTGATTCACTCCCATTCTCTAGACCAAGGCTACTCTAGCAGGACTGAATCAGAGGGGCACCTGGGAGGCAGCACCAGTCGGGATCTGCCAACCTTGGTTTGAGGAAGGTTTGCACGTAGAGGAATCTCTGTCTCCACTCTGGAGAGAGAGGCCCGGGCACCTCCAGGCCATCTGCTCACCTCCAACACAGAGCAGTCGGGGCTTCTGAGGCCGCGTGGCACTATGCTCAGCATAGTTTCTGCCCACAATAAGACGCTGACTTCTGGAGGCCCTTGAGGTACTCCCGACAATGCTAAAGGCTGGACAGGATTTCAAGAGTTTTACCTTTCAGAGCAGAAGGGCTCTTAATAGAATCTGGGGAAAAGATGGCACTTCCTTTTTTGTTCAAACTTAGGAACATAGGATCATTGTCTCCAGATTCAGGTCTAAAGAGACCTGAGTCAACTATGCTCTCAGATGCATGTTTACTGAGTTATTTTCCTTCCTCAACCCTAAAACCTCATCTTCTCCCAGGACAAAGCCATACATCCTTTTCTACTTCTCTTCTCCCCTCTGGGGAGTTGGACTCTACCGGGACTCTTTTCCCAGGTGCGATTGCCAGAGCCCAGGACAAGTGTGCACTAGTTTTGTTGACCTTAATGGAAATTCTAGAATCTAGAATTAATTCAAAATCTGCTGTCTCACTTGAGCCCAGCCTCTCATTTTCCTGAATGTGGGAACATTAATCAGATGGGAGCAGAAAGGAAAAAGAACCTAGTGGATTGCGAATGTCCAATAGTGAGAGGACAGCGCCAGGCTAGGGATCTACCCCATTCCTTGTAATAGTGCTTAGAATTCAGAGAGGAGACTGGAAATCCTATTGGGGATACGGGCCAGACAGAACCTGGGTGCACCTGTCCCATTGATGGAGGTGGGGTCTCAGCCCAAGAAATGATAAAATCTAGCACACTTAACTTTTATAGAACACTTGCCGGCCATTGGGTTCCTGAGCTGTGAAAAGGGGGAATGCTTCCTCCCCGACTGCTGCCAGTCTCAGGGGTAAAAGGATGCAAAGCTACAAAGATGCTCTCCTTATTTTAGTGCTCAGTGTCCTTTGAGAGTGGAGAGGGAAAGGGAAGGGCTCTCAAACAATCTCAGGGTTACTAGACAAAAATGTTAGGATACTCCAGGTGACACACCTAATTCAATTAGTAGGCCAACCTCCAACTCCCGTGGGCTTCTTCTCCAGCAACTGCCAGTGGTTCCACAGAACTAACAACGACCTCCCAAACTCCAAAAGATCCCTGCCCTACCCCCAGCTTTCCACAGACTTCCTGCATTCACTGAACAGGAAGAATCTTGGCAGTTCCCTTCTTTATGGGAAGTAGCAAATCCCACTGGGCGCTGGAACATACAACCTGAGTTTTACAAGAAAGAGCCATCATACCTAGGATTCAACTGTGAAGCTGCTTGCTGGAGGTGCTCTGCCCTGCCTGTAACTAATACATGTTTTAAATATATGTGTTGAATAGATGAATGAGTGGATGATTGGAGGGCTTGCAGGACTTCTATGTTTGGCCTCCCTGGAAATTTCACAAAGTTCTGACTTTTTTTTTTCCAGGAGTTGTTAAGCTTTTCCCTCATGAAGTCTTCAAAGTTTGTCTCTTACAAGAGTGCCTTGGTGTTTCTTTTTTAATGTTCTTGCTGAGCAGGACCAAAATCCAACAAAAACCAAACCTATTTCCAACTACTCTTATTTCGAATGGGGAGGGATTTAGTGCAGAAGCTAGACAGAGTGGGTTGAGGTTCTGCATTTATTTTGTTTGGAGATTCCATGGGTTAATTGAATGTTCTTCTTCTGATAGACCCCTCCTCTTTCTCCTCCTTCTCAGGTTCTCAGTCAGTTTAGCTGCTGACTTTTGTAAGGCAATCTGCCCCTTTGTGAGTGGACCTGCTGTCTCTGAAAGGGCTCCTTCGCCCAGCCCCTCCTTGGGGGCCCTTCCTGTGTGCACGTGGGTTTGAAAAGCTCATTGATTTCCATCCAAAGGGGCTAATTACATTACTTACAGTAAATAGCCGCCCTGCTGTCAGGTAGGGCTGCCAAAGTAAGGGGGTGTCTCCAGCTTAGTTCACTTGATTGGCTTCATTTTTTGTGTGAAATTGTGTTTTATGAGCTGTATTCTGGCACCCAGAGGACCTTAAAAGTGTCCAATCTGCAAATAACATTATTTTGGACCCTGAGGAAAAAAAAAAAAAAAAACCGAAGGGAAGCAGTGGAGTCTTGGATTTCATGGAAGAGGTAACTCCAGCAGTCTCAGATGGCGGTGCATTGGGACAGGAAGTCGGGGTGCCGCTAAGGGTGTTTTCCTCCTTTTCTCCATTCCTTCCTTCCTTCCTTCCTTTCTTCCCCCTCCTTCCTCTCTTCCATCTTTCCTTCTTTCTTTGTTTCTCTCCTTCCCTTCCTTTCCCTCTCATTCTCATGCTTGCTTTTTCTTTCTTCCTCTCTTCCCCTTTCCCTTTCTACTTCTCTCCCTTAATCTTTCTTGATTTGCCTACAGTCTATGTCGGGCTTCCCAGGGTGATGGAATGGAAGCGGTTGGCCCCTCTAAAATCTCCAAGCTGTGTCCAAGACGTAAGCTCCGATGTTCCTGGGCAAGTTGGCGGGGAGTGGTGGGAAACCCAGGCTAACTACAGGGACCCAAGGAGCGGCTGGCTCCCTTCTCTGGTTAAGGCGGGGTTGGTTCCTGTCGCCGCGCCCCGCTTCGGGCCCCTGAGGAGCCTCTAGCCATCTGAATGAATCGACAATATATGAGTATTGTGGACACTTTTTAATGGGGCCGGGGAGGGGCCGCCGCCAACAGGAACAGAGAGCGACAGAACAATCCCACCTCTTGTGAGGAGCAGGTCTGCCATTCTGCTTGTCAGTTCTCACCTTCCCCTCCTCCACAGCAAGGAGTCCCTTTCACACCCTCCTGAGTGTGCAGTGCGCCCAGTTTTACAAGTGTCCCTGTCTTGCGAGGGTAGTGGGAACAGCACGCACAGGGGCCGGCGCCCAGCTCGCCGGAGTCCTGCCCATGATGACAAGATTCAAATGGGACATTAGAATCTCAGCAGTTTTCCTTCAGACCTTGAGTAAGAGAGTTAATCATCCTGTATACCCGAGTGTACAAGTTGATGCCCTGTCCCATACACTCTAATTTTTCAAAGAAAAAAAAATATATATATATTTTTGCCGAAAGTAAACTCCAGAAAGATTCTCTAAGCGCCTTTTCATTTTGGAGGACGCTCCAGTGCCTGGTAGTGTCGGGTCTCCCAGGAAGGTGAGGCAAAGAGATGAACTATCAGACAACTGCTTCTAAAAGATGAGCTGAGGAAAGAGGGGATGGGAAGAAAAGAAACATGCACTAAATTCTCCACCCCACTGAGGGGCTCGAATTCCTGCCTAATCTTTATATATTGACAGTTTTGTAGACTGGGGTTGAAAGTCCACAAGAAGGAAACCCAAAGTTTTGAGCTGGTTTTCTGTGTGCCCTGAGCTGGGGTACGATCTTGAACTGAGATCAAATAGGCCGACTCTCTGCCTTCTGCGTCAGGACGGGGACAATAACAGCTCCTTTCCCCCTTTTAAAACAAGGACCCCTTTCCTCTTTAAAACATGACTACTGAGAACTCTTGGAACGATGTGTGTGTGTGTGTGTGTGTGTGTGTGTGTGTGTCCGCGCGCACGCGAGTGTTATGGGGAGGTAAATGCCCCCCTCCTACTGCCCCCATCCCCCCACCCCTTTGTAATGTTTGTCCCTGCTTGCCCATCACCAGGGGGTTGAGAGGAGTATGACAGGTCTTTGTTGTCTGAATAAAAATCCGTGGCAGCTCCAGGGAGAGAACTCCTCCTACTAAATTATCAAAAATGGGCTGGCTTTAGTCTCTTAACAAATTGGACACAGCTCCGGCAGGAGCAGTCCCCAACCCAACCTACAGGCACTGGGAACTTGCAAGCAGCCAGGGACCGCTGAAAATAGCACTTCGTCTTCTTTCTTTGTGTTCAAAACTATTTTCTTTCTTCACCAGATTTTTGTTTTCCTCCCCCCCCCCCCCGCAGTTGTTTCCCATTAGTAACTCGATCTCTCGGAGCAGTAAGATTCGCCTTCGCCTTTCCCCTCCGCCCGTGTTTGTTTGTTTTCTGCACATCTCCTTCAGGGAGACGCCAGAGTCTCCCCACCCCGCCTATTTTTCCCCCCTCTTTCCCTCTGCAAGTAGGCCTATTTTCACTTTGTCTGACTCTTTCTTCTTTGCTCTCTGCCTCTTGCCCTCTGTCCCCGCGCGCCTCTGCGTTCCAACATCGCGCAGCCCTCTGCGGTCCCTTTTGCCCCAGCACTCGGATGAGCTGAGAACCCCGGGTGTGTGTTTATGGAAATAGTGGGGTGCCGAGCAGAAGACAATTCGTGTCCTTTCCGCCCCCCAGCCATGCTCTTCCACGGCATCTCCGGAGGCCACATCCAAGGCATCATGGAGGAGATGGAGCGCAGATCTAAGACCGAGGCCCGTCTGGCTAAAGGCACTCAGCTCAACGGCCGCGACGCGGTAAGAAACTGCCCCTCGGTGGCGGTAGCCGAGCGCCCCTGCGCGCTCGGTTAAAACGAACTTCCATTCTCTGGCCTGGCGAGATTGGGAATGGTGCGTGGTAGGGACATCTTGTTGAAGATCTCTGGGTTTTCACCGGTCTAGCTAGCTCTGCCGGGATAGGAAAGGTCCCATTCTGACTTGAAATGCCTTTACTACTAAACCCCAAGCTCATTTCCCTCTGTCGCAGCTGTTCCCGAGCAAGTAGGGCGGTCAGCAGTGGAAGAAGAGGGGCGTCCTCTTCTGCAAACTACCAACTCCTTTCTCTAGTCTCCCCGAATTCCCGGGCGCCTCCCCAGGGAGGATCCCGCAGCCCCGAGGGCAGACGGCGCAGGCAATAGTCAGACCGCTTGCTGCCCAGGCGTCCCGGCCAAGAAGGAGCCCCGGTGAGCTTAGTCTCTGGACCAGAAGACCGGACCTTTGGAGTATACTCAGAAGCGACCGGTCCATTTCCAATTCTCAGTACTCTCAGGGTTTGGTACCCCAAACCCAGAGATTTTGTCTTCGGCATCCCGGCTCAGTTCCTCTATCCATGCAGAACTGGTTTGGTTCCCGGGCTGGGCGGGTGTCTTGTGTAGGGGAAAATTTAAAAATGCGGAGGAGCGAGGCACCCAGTCCAAAAGCAAGAACTTTCTAACCCTTAAACGAAGTAATCAAATACCACTGTTATTATTATTGGTAATAATAAAAGTCATGTTCTCTTAAAAAATACCAGTAATCTAAGTGTTTCCCTTTCCCATTTATAAACCGGAGAAAGAAAACTTACTGGAAGTCTCCGGAAATGATTCCAGCCAAACTGTGCTGTGTAGACCCTCTTGTATCACAAAACTTCCCCAAGAGACTGACTGCTCATGCCCGGCCAGTGGTATTTTGGATCGCGTCAAAGAGCCGAGTGTGTGCATTTGTCCACATTTGCAACACTAACTCAGCGCGGTCCCCTAATCGGAGTAAAGGGGGAAACTTTATTTTTCCACGTCCGGCAAAATTTCTTGTGGAAGTCCAATTCATTTCTGCTAGTATTGAGGAAAAGATCCAAATATAACTCTTTTTTTCCTTCTGTGGTTATTCTATTTAAAACTAAAAAGCAGTAACCAGATCTGAAGCTGGGCTCCTCAAGGTGAGCATCTTGGTTATCTCAGGATCCAGGTGGGAAGCTTAATTTGAGCACCAGATTTTCAGGACAAAGTTCTCTTGTGTTTATGCTGATGCCAGGGAAAGAGGAATTGTGTATAGGAAACTGGACATTGGTCCTTCTTTAGGAACAGTCACTTCACACTCTTAGCAGGAACAGGACCAAACATTCTGAAAATCGGGAAAGAGTAGGATCTGCTAAATATATCCCAACCAAAACAAAGCTGACCAATTTAACAGCACGGGTATTATATTCTCTCCCTGGCTTTTGATTTCAATGTTGCGTCTGTACAAATTTAGAGAAACCGAATAGCAATATTATTGTTTTGTGCAAACACAATCTGTGCTAGTTTAAATTTCCTTTTCACTTCCTAATTACAAGTTCCGTTTGATTTTTTGTATTTTTCGAAAGCCACAATTTGAAGTTTGTAATTATCTCTAATTTGACAACACTCACCAAACTATAGTAAATAGGCTCTCCGTTCTTTTAAGGCTAGGATTGGGATGGTTGGTATGTCTTTAGTTTTGTAATAGTAGGAGGACGCCGATGCCAGTTCATGCCAACTTGGAAGATAACTGACCCGCAAAGGTAGAAATTGCAAATGTTTTTCCCGACTTTTGCCTTTGAGCTGTGGCCCCTGACCCTAGCCTCTCTTGGGCACTTGGCTTGCGCCCTGGATTCGCGCAACCTAGCAGGGAATCCCGCATGGTGCGGCTACACCAGGCGTTCTCCTCAGCCTTGTGTGTGCTTGCTTTGCAGGGCATGCCCCCTCTCAGCCCCGAGAAGCCGGCTTTGTGTGCTGGCTGCGGGGGCAAGATCTCGGACAGGTACTACCTACTGGCGGTGGACAAACAGTGGCACCTGAGGTGCCTGAAGTGCTGTGAATGTAAGCTAGCTCTGGAATCTGAGCTCACCTGCTTCGCCAAGGACGGTAGCATTTACTGCAAGGAGGATTACTACAGGTACTCCCCTCAAATACACCTTCCTGACACCAAGTACGGCTGGCTGGCGAGGGGCGGGGGCACCTGCCCGATTCTGGAGTCCCCTCTTCATCCTCCACATTTTGCCCCTTCAGGGTTCGGTTATCATTCTCCAGACCTGGGGGAATTTACAGCATATGCCTTTAAGCTGCACTCCCCTGGATGTCTGGTGAGGATGGATGACAATAGACACCTAAGGTCTAGCTAGAGCAGTTATCAGTGACTACCATGCACTCCCTTCTCTTCCCAGAACTGTTGACAGAACAGGGTAAAATCTGGGATAGAGTGAATGGGCTGGTCTTAGTTAATTATCTGAGACTTGAGTGGTTTTGTTTTTTGTTTATTTGTTGTTGTTTTCGATTTTTTCCGCTTACTACAAACTGAGTAACTTGGTGCCTTGGAACTGAACTGGTGGCCCGGGAAGCAGCAATTGGATGGGTGGCAGATGACCTTGTAAATGACTGAAAAGGAATAAACCCCACTGCCAAAACCCAAGTCATTCAGTTGCCGAGTTCCCTTTACGGCTAGTCAACACTAGACTAGAGAGAAAACTCAGCATCAGGCATGTTTATTGATTCTTTCTAGTTGTTTCTGGATTGGAAAAGACAGAACTATGTATAAGTGACCTAGCTCAGCACTTAGCAGATGGGAGGTGGTTAAAGAAGAATAACCTTTCTCTACAAAATTGTCATTTCCCGAGGCTGGCTGTATGTTTTCAGGCACGCTCAAATGTGCAGGCATAATAGTAATAATACCTTCATTCAAGACTATTTTGTAGTCAATGAAGCTGTTCACTTGGATTTGCAATTTAATATTCTTTCAGTAGTGCTGTGAACTAGCTACTGCAGGTTTTTGTTTGCTCTCTCTCTCTCTTTTTAGATGCAGAGAAAGAAACTGAAGTTTAGTACACAATTTTCTGACTTTAATATATGGATCTTTGTCCTGGTTCACCAGAACCAGAACAGGTCAATGAGCAAATAAATTGATGTCGAAAGTGGGCCCAGTGACTTGTCCTACTGGAGCCCTCCCAAGTCTCAGTCTTTGACTACTGCAGCCAAACCCAGGTACTGCAGGTGGAAGTGGCTTGTCCTTAGATCAACAAGTACCCTGACCCCTCTGTTTCCTTCCAGAAGGTTCTCTGTGCAGAGATGTGCCCGCTGCCACCTTGGCATTTCTGCCTCTGAGATGGTCATGCGTGCCCGAGACTCTGTCTACCACCTGAGCTGCTTCACCTGTTCTACCTGCAACAAGACTCTGACCACAGGCGACCATTTCGGCATGAAGGACAGCCTGGTGTACTGCCGCGCCCACTTCGAGACCCTCTTGCAAGGGGAGTATCCTCCACAGATGAGCTACACGGAGCTGGCGGCCAAGAGTGGCGGCTTGGCCCTGCCTTACTTCAATGGCACCGGCACGGTGCAGAAGGGGCGTCCTCGGAAGAGGAAGAGCCCAGCGCTGGGAGTAGACATCGTCAATTACAACTCAGGTGGGCCGGCATCCTTACACAGTGAAGCTCCGGTCACCAGGTTGTCAGGAGGATTCAATAAGGCCCCTTCCCTTTTCAAGATCTACCTGCAAAGAGGGTACTTTGTCCAAAATGCCCGTGTTCTCAATACAACTTCCTCTCAATCTGAAGGAAGAGAAAAAGGGAGAGAGGAAGAAGGAAGGAAGAGGAAAGGAGTGGGAGAGGAGAGACAATACTTTATTAAGGTTGCAGGAAAAAAAAAACACATTTATAACTATGGGGCTATAGTGATTTCCCCCAAACAGGCAGAGCCAAATCCTTGTTGCCCATTAGTTAATGAGCCCATTAGTTTCTGGCTCCCAGTTGGAGCAAAACAGCCCCAAGGCAATTCCTTTGTGGAAGCCAAATTATAGATCCTGGATGAGGTTTTCTTAAATACTGAAGGGGGGGGGACCCAAAACTTCAGAGCCTAACCCCAGTCTGTCTAGAGGGGGCAGAGGCTGTGGTCACCAGCCCAAACTTAATCAGCAACACAGTTGGCAAGTGTTGAAAAACCGAATCCCTGATTTTGGCAAAAAAGCAGCTGTAGGGGTAGGAAGCACTCTCCACGCTGAGCTGGCCTGAGCCTCTGGTAGGTCAGGGTATTCATCCAGCCTACTCATTCCCTGTGCAATAGACCAGCCAGATATCCAGACCCCAGACCCCAGCCAAATGAAAGAAGCTCCAGGGCAGGCCCACTGGGGAGGCTTAGTAGTATCTCAGGCTGCTCTTTTGTTCTCCACCAGCCCCCTCTCTTAATTAAAAACAAAATGCAGGCAACAGGCTGAGAGCACACTTTCCTCCATGCTTTAGGGGCATGCCTATCATTTATCAGTCTGTCTCACACACATACATCAGTTTCCCATTTTTGGTAGCCTTTCCCCATCCTCCATCCCCCAGGTGACTATGTTGACAGGACTGGAAGACCATTATCTTACACTGAGTATCACAGAAGCTCCTCTGGTGAGTCCCAAATGCTGGGAAAAGGGATTCCAGAAAGTCCTGGCTCAGTTTGGGGGAGTTTAAGGACCTTGACTCTCTGACTTTGCTTTGCCTTGACCCTGGCCCTGGCCCAGGCCCAAACCTGTCTGGGAATTTTGGCAAGCAGGAGTCTCAGACCAGGGGAAACCATTCTCCTGGGAGGAATCTTGGGAACCACCTAACTGTGGCAACTCCATAATCATGACCACCCCAGATACCCTGGCAAACCATGAAGCAAAATCACACGTGCTTTTTCTCTTCCAGCCCTTATATCTGGTGTGATGCTTGATGTTGTTGCTTAATGATAAAGGAATGATGCTCAGCCAGTTAGGTGGTTTGTTTAAGGTCACACAGCCAGTGTGAACATGGGAACTAGGAGAGTTTGCAGAGGAAGCCACATGGGATTAGCAGGCACTCTTTCAGCCCTCTCCTAGCTTCTCTCTTGGGGTCCCCCTCCCAACTGCAGAGGAGAAATGCTTTTGGGCAGGTGCAGTGGGTGTCATCTCAGGGATAATGGGAATGCAGAGCCCATCCAAGCTGCTTTTGCCCCTAGCGGGACAGTGGGTCTGTGGACCAAGGCAAAAGGGCTGGCAGTCTCCTGGGACTGTTTTCACCAAGGTTGTTTTGCATGAAGAATGTGGGCATAGTACTAGGTTTCGGCAATCTTTGGCAGACACAGCCCTCCGCACCCTTGCTCTGGCCCCTGCTGCGCTGGGGCAGAGGTTTTGGTTAGGGGCCACTTTGCCTGGTGCACACACCTCATGTCCTTTGATGCATGGTCCCTGGGGCAGGACAGGCAAGGCACTAATTGTTCTTTATTAATTGAAGATGACATTGGAATCTCAAGCCACTCACCAATGCCCTAATTAGAGAGAGAGAGAGGCGGTGGGGCGGGTGGGGCGGTGGGGGGCAGCGAGAGGAGAAAGAGATGGACTCATACATAACTAGCTGGTCCCTTGGACAGAGGAAATCTCTCAGCCTGATAAAAGTCCAGAAGGGTGGGGATTTCTAGCTAAACTGTGGGCAAGTCTGGCTTTTCTCTAGTTTATTTAATCTAATTAGCTAAATTTGATTTTGCATTGAATCTTACTTTATGTTGAAAGATCCGAGAAACTTTAGGAACAATAGAATTTAGCTTCTCTTACTTCTCTGAAGAGAATTAGAATACATATACATTTCCTAAGAAGAATGAAAACCTCTTTCTGAACTACTTAGATCTTTAGTTTGCAAATTAGTGCTGCTATACATTGTTGAGAAAGTTGATAGTCTTAGTCATGAAAGAGAAAAGTTGCTCAGACCCACTAACCTGCATCACTCACTCAACTATATCCACTCCATCCTTACTGGACTTTTCCCCAGAGATGTGAGTAAATAGTACACATTCGTTAAAATTAGTTAGAAATAAATCTAGAGGAATTTTAAGATGCCTGATCAGACATTACCCCCCCACACACACACACACAAAATTTGAAATAGTATTTATGAATCTGGTGCCAGTTTGTTACAAAACTAGGGAAAGAAACCCCTTAGTAAGTTAAAATTATGTGAAAATGTAGGAAATAAAACGGACCCACAGTTTTAACTCACTATTTTATTCTCCTTTGAATTTTAGATCACCATTTCTGCTTAATTATAAACAAGCCTAATTCAGGGCAACATTGATATGAAATGCAATATAATTTAGAGATATGTTTTCAAAAATATGTATGCAAAACATTTATCATTCAGAGATTCTTAAAGAATATATGAAACTTTCAGAGGTCAGTTAGTTCTTGACATAAGGCAAATTCCTTTTAATGAGACTTTTCCTAATTTAGTTTATACTTCTTTGTGCAAATTAATTGGGCAGATATTTTTGAAGGAGACATGGAACATTTATCTGGAAAACTGGATTGGAATAAAGCCCTCCAGGGGTGAGAAGAATTAGTTTAGGATAGACAAGTCCTGTTTGGGTCATTAATGAAGAGACTCATTTCTTGGCCACTCCTCAGAACCTCTTTTCCTTAGGTTCTTTCTACCTAAACTTCTGAAGTTCCCGATTGTTGTTAAATTAGCCTGGCACTGACCCCTAGTGGTCTCTCAGGAATCAGTTAATTCTCAGAAGGCTACAAACCTTCAGAAGAACATAAACTTACTTGATGTAAGTGACCATCTCATAAGTGACTGAAAATAAAATATTTATATCTTCTCATTAATGTTAGCAATTCTGGATGTGTATTTTCAGGTGGAAGTTTGAGACAATTTTTAATCCAGAGAGGAAAATACCCCTAAAATTTTAGAAACAGGCTATGGGGGAACAAAATCATTTGCAAGTTTACATAATATATTTGTAGTTAAATGCAAATAATTTATGGAAATGAACTGAATTACTCCGTGGAAAAATATATTTCTCTATTAAGTTGTATATGTAAGTGAAAACATAGTCATATGAAAGTTGTATGTAGTAATATCTGTTGAAGAAAGACCTGACAACCTATCTTTTTTATACCCTGAATTGTATATTTCATGTGAAAACAAGCTCTACAATTATAATTAATGCACTAAAATGCTCTGTTGAGTTTTAAATCAGCAATAATGGACACAGAGTACATATTCAGGAAAGCAATTTCATCAAATATTACTGCAATTATTTTTAATAAAATTCATTTTAAAGACTAGTGATTATATAGCTAAACTGGGAATCATATTTATTTCTAAGAAATATTAACATGTTGGAGGAGGAATGGATAAGGGAATTATTTAAACACCAAGTTAAGGCTTCTGTCCCAAGTGTAATTTTCAATTTGATGTGTCATTCAGGAAAAGTTACTCACTTACGATAGGAATGAAATTCTTATTTGAAGAAGCCATGGATGATATTGTGTCCCTCTTTGTCCATTTTGTTGTGGGTACATTTATAATCTGGCTGTGAAATATGGCTCAGTTTACTGGAGATAAGTATGGTTTTATAGTAGGTCATGAGTTGCTGTTTCATCCATTTGAGGATATAAAGGTACAATTCTATAGACTATTTGAACCTGACATATCCCCACTGGGCTGAAATAGGGTAAAATGTAAAGTATATTCTCTCTGCTATCTCTGGGTATATGTTACCATTTCTGGCAGGCTTAAGAAGTTTATGTTTTACATTTGAATGTATATATCGGAGTTGGATTCCTTCCAGATAATTTTGATTTTGCATTTGCTTGTAATTTTATTGATGAACAAAGCATTTTAAATTTTGATTGAATCTTGTTGAGTTTCTATCCCACTGTGTGACTCGGGAGTTCCAGAAGTGAATGTGATACAGTCTTTTCCCAAAAAGAACTCACCTGTGCTTTGCAGAGTGTGTCTTCCCATGTATATATCTCATGGAAATACAAGCCTAGGAGACATTAGTTTCTGCTTAGTCTTATTACATCAGGGATAATTTCTTGTCAAACGAGATTTGTACGCAGCTGGTCTCTGTTGATGACTGTTCAACTTGATATTTTCAAATGTGCTAGATATTGTTTAAAAAAAAGTAGTTCTAACCAGAGCAAGGAGGCAGATAACATTTTGGTAAGCTGAAGGAAAAAAAAAAAAAACAAAACTAGTATTAAGAGATGCCTCACTTTTTTTGTTTGTTTTTTTGGGTACTGGAGATTTTTGGAAGGATACTGGTACTCCCTGCCCCCCTTAAATTTTTTTTTCTCTTCTGAGTGACATGATCAGGTTGATTTTTAAATAATGCATTAAAATGCAGAATGATGAAATTTGAATATGTATCAGATACATACATGAAATAAGGGCTTAAGGAAAAAAATTACCATGTGCTTGAATTTGCAAATTTGGCTGAATCTGCAAATATTTAGCAAAATGTTTTCATTCTGCAGTCATATTTCCTATACAGAGCCAGCAGGTTTTTGGAATGACCTTTTAAATGTGCAGCTTTACATCCTGGGAATGATGACTTTTTAGCTGGTTTCAAAGACTGATTTGTTTTGCCCTTGGTGCCAAAAAGAGCTTTCCAAAGGAAGAGAAGATGCCACCCTCTCTCTGCCAGCCCAGCCAGTGGTACACATCACATCCCACACACACACATCCAGAGCAAAAGGAACCAAGACGTGAGACTGGAAATGCGCACCATCAGCTGTGAGCTGTGGGGCATGCTTCAGGCATAAACTGAGTGAGGAGAAGGCTGGGCTCATTTTCTTTCAGAAATATTTATTAGAATAACTCCAAGGGAACAGTATTTTCTTCCTGGCATAGCTTTATGCTAATCAGTTATAGGTGAAAACCCTCAAACATAATATTCTTAGGATTACATAAGAAGTTTGCAAATATTTATTTTCTAACATCTCCCCATTTTTAACCACTTTCCTCTTCCTCATTTAGAAAGCTCTAGGAATATGAAAAATGTTAAAAATTATAAGTGACTTGGTGGGTTCTCAGAAAACTTCAAACATGAGGGGTGAAATACTTGTTTTCCATGTCTCTTATGATAAAAAGCTGTGCCTTCACATAATTACATGTCTTTGCAGAAACAAACAAAAAATGTAGAGTCTCAAATTGTCCAGTCTTGAAGATATAGATGTGGGCAGTGGGTGCTGGTATATGTAAATATGTTTCTTCCCTTTGCTCTTGTCTCTCTTTCCTGTGCCCTACTTAGGGTTTATTCATTTTCCCAAAGGTGTTTATCAACCATCAAGCAAAAGAGAGGATTTATCTAATATTTTTTCTTCTTACGTAAATTTTTATTTTGTCCACATTAACAGACAAGTTTGGCTGATGGAAGCAATTAATTTCTTTCTTTTTGTCTAGATATTGTTCATAATTGAGTTGACAGCCATTTTCTCTGTCACTTTATTATCATAACAGTGTCATTAGCCCACTGTCATTTCCATTTATGCAGGAGTTTCCACTGAGTAGTTGTTTTCCCCTGTTACTGTAACAGGTTGTAATGAGAATGAGGCAGACCACTTGGACCGGGACCAGCAGCCTTATCCACCCTCTCAGAAGACCAAGCGCATGCGAACTTCCTTCAAGCACCACCAGCTCCGGACCATGAAATCCTACTTTGCCATCAACCACAATCCGGATGCCAAGGACCTCAAGCAACTTGCTCAGAAAACAGGCCTGACCAAAAGAGTTTTGCAGGTAAGACACCTCCATCATTGGCTGTGCATACATCTCCCATCCCCTTGCCAGTAAATAGTTCTCTTCCCCGCTTGGCTTGATGTGGCTATTTCCTATTCTGCTTCTTCTTAGTTTATCTTAGTTATTTCCCTAGGGGGTAAACTGAGACTTGCAGGGGCTTCCTGGAGGGTACTTAAAGAGAGATCCAGGGTCTTACAAGATGCAACCACGTTCTCCCTACAGATAGGGAGGGAGATGGGTCTCCAAAACCAGCTCAGCTTGCCTCACTCCTGTGCAAATGCAAGTGTTGTCATTTGCTCAAGACATGGCTCTGGAGATTTCCATTCATGTTAGGCTCAGTGCGCTGATTTGTGAGGGATCTGCTAGCACTGTCCTACTCCATTGAGTTCTTGGCAGCCTCTCTCACATTAGGACTTTCCAAATTCAGGCAGGCTTTCCCCCCAACTGCCCCAAAGCTAAAAGTTATGCTAGTATCTCAGCAAATATTGGAGCAAATATTTTTTTTTCATTTTAACAAACCATTATTAAAAAGTGGGAGTTAGTTCTGCTGTCCAATTGCTTCCTCAAATTCATCATGGTAAGAATATAAGGATATGAAATTATAATGGGTTGCCGTGAGTCTCCTGTGATCTTCTCTCATTTCTCAGTGATGAATAGCAGACAGTTTTAATTCTGGTACATAGTCTCTGGCTATTTGGGGTCTGTGGCCCTGGAAGAGTTTTTCCTATGTGAAAAATACTTACTGGGTGTCAGACTCAGGGATATCTTAAACTCTATTTCAAATGACGTTCACATCCTATGAGTGGTTCTTACTTTGCAGTAGTTTTAGCCGACCTGCTTCTCCTCATTCTCATAAGACAACAGTCGAGGAATGAAGGCATATCTTCCCTGATTTATCTCTGTGCTTTCATTTCATGGTATCTCCATGTGAGCATCAGTTGTCCCAAGTGGCATTGGTTAATGCTGGGAGGGGACACATGCAGTAGAGAGAACAAATCTATAGTATTATTTGAGTCACTATGGTACGAAAGAATGAGGGAAAAAAAGAAAGCACCCCTTCCCTCTCAAGAAAAATAAACAATTATATTTAAAAGAAATATATCAGGAAAAAAAAAAGAGATAAAAGATAAAAGTTAAAACAAAAAAGGAGAGAAAGGAAGAGAGAGAAAAAAAAATATATAAAAATAAACATCGGTAAAGAAATCAATTGGGATTGGTTTGCAGGTTTGGTTCCAAAACGCACGAGCCAAATTCAGAAGGAACCTTTTGCGGCAGGAGAATGGGGGTGTTGATAAAGCTGATGGCACGTCGCTTCCGGCCCCGCCCTCAGCAGACAGCGGCGCTCTCACTCCACCCGGCACTGCGACCACTTTAACAGACCTGACCAATCCCACTATCACTGTAGTGACATCTGTGACCTCTAACATGGACAGCCACGAATCCGGAAGCCCCTCACAAACTACCTTAACGAACCTTTTCTAACATTGGTTTTTTTTTTCTTTCTTTTTAAATTCTTCCTCTTCTTCTTCTTATTCTAATTATTATTATTTTATTATTTACAAGCCTTTTTTTTTTTCTTCCTTCTAACCCACAAAATATTTGGGGAATAAAAATAACAGCTTGGTGTGTAGCATCTGCAGCCACTTGGCAAATGAGTTTACAGTATTGTCTCCTTTAAGTGAACATATTTTGTCTACAAAGTGTATTTGGAATTTTTTTTTTCTTTTCCTTTAAGCAATTAGGTCTTTCAATTGGTAAGGGGAGCTTTTGAATCATTCTAATAAGTGCCTCTTAAAATTGTATGTTACTTATTTCCAGAATCTCGAAGAAAAAAGTTAAGAGTGATATTATGTGGGTAAATAATCATATTCCTGCTTAAGTGATTAGGTTAATGATGAACCAGGTAATTAATTAGCTATTTTTAAAATCTTGCAGTTGTATATGTGATTACAAAATTTTGGAAACTTCACATTTTTAAAATTTTATAACTGAAAGAATGTATTGAGTATTGCTATTTCTTACCTGAACTCTTGATTCAAATAAGGAATATGATTAAGCAAAAGCATTAATAAGAGCAATTTTAAATAGCATTGATTAGTTAGGTGGGAAATTACTCCACGTATGTGACTTTTCCTTCTTTTAGGGATGTACAACCTAAAAACCTTCTTAATAGTTCTTTGTTTCTTCAATATTTAAAAAATACTTAAACTTCCTGTAAAACTCCTATGAAAATTCCACATAGAATTTGAAATTCTATACTTTTGATCTCCGAAAGCTAAAAGAAAAATCAACTGACAACAGCAAACACAACTCTGAAAATATTCTTTCTACCTTACCTTTTTTCCTAGGGAAAATGGAAATAAGCAAAATATGATTTTTTAAGAAGTCAAAAAGTTGGTATGATTTAATTAATCTCTATTAATTGGCTTCAGTTGTACCATGATATTGTATCTGGCATTGTTTATGAATAATGCTTTAAAAAAAAACTCAGTAAACTTAACACCAACAATGAGAATTCTTTGGTTTTGTTTTGCTTTATTTTATTTTTGCATAGTTTGATTAAAGTATCACACACACACACACACACACACACATAAACTTTTCTGGCATTAGAGATTTGAAATTAGTAGTCTTAAAGTAGATAAACTCAGAAGCCTTGTGGATGCTGATCTGAATATATTTCCTAGTTTACAGTAGCATTTTTTTTTCTTTTAATTTAAGGTAAAATCTTAATGGTCTGGGCAGTGGTGAATGTTCATCTATATGCTTCTGTTGTAGTTAAATACCAATTAGATTGTGGATTTCCTAAAAAAATAAAAAAGAAGTCAAGATATATGTCTTGCTTTAGTGGATTGTTAAGAATAACTTTGCACATATTTTCCACTTTTTTGGACCCCTTAAATCTCCTCTGGTGGTCTGAGTGGCTGTTTAATAGATTTTAAAGGTGTCCTTCTGGCTGTATAAATGTGTGGTTACATATTGACAGTTCACTGCCCACATTAAAGTGCATTATTGTAACTTTTGCTCAGGGTCTTTAGAAAATTAGCACAGAAAGTAGCTTATTTTTTAAAAAAAGATGATGGAAGATAAGTTAACACTGTAACAGAAGAAAGGTGTGATTGCCATTATATATTTAGCAAGTGTGGTTATCATCTTATATGGAGCTTAAATCTTGACTTTTCATATTTCTATTACATTTTGGGCATTTACCACTAACCAGACCAAACAACCTTGGTAAGGCTGAGATCTTATTAATACACTTTTACAGGTAAAATATTGATACTTATAAATTTTGTTCTTTGACAGAACAATATATGGTACTATAGATCTACTTTATTAAGTAGACTAATTATAACTCAGTTCTCCTATGTGCCTTATGATATAACTTGGAAGTAAGTTTGTGAAAAATCAGGATTATATGTGTTGTTTGTTAAATTAACTGTTTTAAGCCCTTTTGACACCTCACTAGTTTTGTACTGTTTTACCTCTTATTTCTGAAACTCTTTTTATGGTGTATCCTGTTAGAGGGGACAAACCTGTCATAGAAAGCAGTTGTGCACTCTTTCAAATATAGTTGATAAATTCAATAATCTTATATATTGAGCTTCGTGTTTATAGTACAGTAAGTGGTCTAGCAAAATTGTCCATGTTTCTTTGTTTATTGATAAATGCATTGTATAGAAACTATTTCCCCTAAATATTTATGGACCAAACAATTGTGATATATCCTATTAAATTTGTGTGAATAAACCATTTTGAATCTAAGGAGTTTTATTTCCCATAAGTTTTATTTAAGTTTACCTGTTCTAGTGTGTTTTCAATATCTTTATGTAAAAGGCATTAAAATGGTAGTGGAAAATTTTTAAAATATTCAAACATACAACCAGTTTTTAAATTTTCAAACTTCTGATTCATATTAAATGCACACACCATTGCATATGCAGTGTAAATCAATCTTGAAGTACCTTTAAATATATGTGCTTATAATACAAGTAATGCCCCATGGATTTAACTCAGTCCAATTTTCAGAATAAAAAAATTAGCAGATAAAGTAATTGCATGAAAAGAAACCTTAAATATGATTAAGATTTAATGTTAGGTCTATTGAGCACAAATGGATATTTGTAAATCTAAATAGAAATTGCAGACCCCTAAAAGCCAAGTTGCTCTGTAGTTAATAAATTGTCACTATGATTTTTTTCAGGGAGAACAAATCTTGGGGCATTACAGCCAAACATCCCGACGTTTGAAAATTCCCTAAAGTATTAAAAGAAGGGGAAAAGTTTGATCGGAAATCCACTGCAGTGAAGACAAAGACACTATTAGGTTATGATAATCATACATTTAAAAACTTATTGAGCCAAAAAAAAAAAGAGAGAGAGAGAGAGAGAGTGAGACATAAATGTCATTTATTGAATGTTAACAAAACTTCTGTTCTTTATGATGTCTAACACAAACGAAGGCTTAAAATTATGTGGTTTAAAAACACTAGATAAACCTGTATAAACCAGAGCAACCTGGCAGTAATATGCCCACCCCATATTGGAAGAAAATTATTATTGAAAAAATTCCCACACATTTGTCAAGCAACAATAGCTGTAAAATAAAGTCCAAAAACATTCATTTCTCCTGCTTGCTAATGTGTATTAGTCCTATCTGTTAATGGCATTTTCCAATTGTAAATTCAAAGAAAAGCTATCACTCATTTAAGAGTATAGGGATCAAACCCCAGTAATTTTAGTATTATTGTTTATTACTTCCTTTTTAAACAGAAGTCTCTGCATGCACTTTTACATCTGTCACCTCTAGTGTACATCTCTGTAATGATGACTTATCTTTGCTGTTTCTTGTATGATAAATAGCTTTCATTAATAAACATTTTATTTGATGCAAACATAGTTAACTTTATGTTAAACACACACTGTTGAAATTAATTTTGAACACTGTCTTAAGGAGGCAGCACAGTACATTCACAACTTGTTATAGTTAGGAAAAAATCCAAACAATTTAATGAAGTTTAATTCTGGTAGTCTAGGGTAAAATTACTTACTTGCTTTTTTTTCTTTATTTTTTCAGGACTTATTTTCATTTGTTGTATTCTACTGACACATGTATTAAAAATAAAAAAGCAAACCCAAGTTACAACATAAATAAAACTCAGTATAAATTATTGTGTAAAATTTCAACTTTTTAGGGTAAAATTTATAGATTCTCTATGAGTTTACGTGTTTGCTATGCAATGAGCAGATTTATTGAAGTATACAATATGTTCTGAACTATGAAAAGATCCAGTCTTTGCATAGTTCAAGTTACTTATGATATTACAAACAAAGGAGCAAGTGGGAAGTAAAACAAATATTTAGAAATGAGGTTTGTTTTAATTGTTAAAGGGAGTATTTGAAGAAAGAATTTTTTAAACTATTCCTATTTAGTTGTAAATCCAAAGCATATGTTAAACAAATTAACATATAAAATACTTTCCAGAAAATTTTCATTATGATGAAATTTTTATTATATACAAATGAACCCTATGTAAATGATGTAACTTTTTATGAAAAACAGACATTAAATATTTCACTTACATATATTCTCAGAATTTTGAATGTTTTCTTAAATGCTTTCACTTCCTGAATACTAAAAAAGAAAATAATTTAAGAGAAACAGTGACTTACTACTACTACTACTACTACTACTACTATTAATAATAATAATAAAGCAATGCACCATGACAAGCAGACTATTTTGAGTGATCATGAAACATGTTGGTTTTGTCAGCAACTTGAATGTTTATGCCTCATTGAAACCTCACCCATTGCTCTAGCAATCTAGATAGATTTCCCAACACATTTTCGGCCAGTTTATTCAAATTTTGTCCTATAAGCTTTGCCTTCTTTCCCTGCTCCCTCACCTATAGCAGTTTCATTTAGAAATATTTTGGAAACTTGCCTGGTTTTACAGACCTTTAAATATTTGTCTGGAATGTGAAATTCGGGAAGAGACCAAAGAGGGAAAGAACGTAACTGAAATTAGACATCTGAAAAAAATAATACAAATTTGAAACAGGCACATTTTTAAAAGGGAAGGAAAGGAGCACTAATTATGTGAGTGGGAAAAGAAAAGAGCATGTGATGCCGAGTTGGGAGTTGTATCATGCTTTCCCATGATGCTCAGCAGTCTTTGGGGCTGGGCAATTGCAAATGCCAACTAATTGTTTGGCATGGAATGGGAGAATGTGGGCTTTTTTGATGGGGACAGGGTACCAAGTTTTTATGGCTTCTACCTCCCCAGTTCGTGGGTTAGTCTAACTTCTGGTAAATTGATCTTAGGCACCAAAAGCTTTATTCAGAGTTGGTGTCTGTGACCTTTGGTTGAACAGTCATTTTAATGCTGACTTAAAAAATATATAGGTTTTTGATACCTCAAATAAGAATAAAACTTCATAATAAAGAAACCAAAGCAAATACCCTTAAAATTTTGGAGACTTTTCATCACCTAAAACCTAAATAGCTTTATTGAACAAAATCCCAGTGAAATCCGCTGTACATTCTTTGGAGTCAAAATTTTTTTATTAGACATATAAAAATCTCATCTCATTTTCTATTGTAGTATGCCTTCAAAGGGCATTGTGATGGAAAGTGTTAGAAATGGGAAGTTCTGAAATTGAAATTTGGAGTCATGACATTCTAGGTTCTTAAAGAGAATTTTGGGGATAATATTGTTGTTATGAAAGATAAATATGAACATCTAATTTTGTATGGAGTTCTGCTGTTTAATTTTTAACTATGTTATAAACAAAGTTAGCTTTACTGGAAGAAAGATTGTGTGCTCTCGAGGTGATTCAATACCTGTTACATCTTGTGGTCTTTAGACATCAGGGGAAAATAAGGACACTTGGACTCAGCTCAAATTGAAGAAATACACTGTAAATACACAAAGCATATGCACTGAGCATGTAGATAAGCTCTGAATTGGCCTGTGGATCAATTTTCTATTTTTCTAAAAGGGAATTAATTCTGAATATTGTAATTAAAAGAAGCCCCTCTGATGTACAATACTTTGCTTTATAGACAACGTCAAAATAGAAAGTTCCGTTCTTTATGGTTTGCTATTGATTTAAAGCATTTTAAAAGTCATACCTACTGTCCTTATAGCATTTTTTTTTCAGAATAGCATTATGATTTTTCTTATTTTCAAAATAATTTAAAAATTTAAGCTAATATGTTATTTTGAATAATTTCTGGGAAGATATCTATTTCATTTTACTTGGTTCTATAGCAAAAAAGATTTTTTTTTAGAAGTTCAGAACTGTGCATGATACTCAAGGAAAAGTCTCTGAATATGACATAGGTAACAATATTCTTGCCACAACTCATTTTCTTTTTAACTGTTGCAAATAGAAACGTTTCTCTTTCAACATTTCTCTGTGAATATTAATAAAGTTAATCCTCCATGTTATGTATCACATTGGCAAGTTTCTCTTTTCTTGGATTATTAATTTTTGCCTCTTTGCATTACATTTTATCTTGTGCTGAAATGACAAAAATCAGGCAAGAATAAGGATCCAAGTATTAGCCATATGTAGAAAGTTCCTGGTGTGCAATTCTGTGTGCTTTTCCCTCTCATATTAGAATCGTCAGGAATGTGTCTTTCCTTTGGAACTTTCTGTTTACATATTGCATGATCTTATAAATTAATCTGAGGAGTAACTGGATACCTTTTATGGCTATTTGAAAATAAAATTTGCTACAAATAAGATGCTTCAGTCTCTGTTGCCTCATATAATGTATGCATATATTAACTTTTTCTATACTTTCACATTGAACCAGAAAATATTAACCTCAGAGGATATTTAAATTGTTATTTATGACAAATACACAAAGATGAAGAAATTCAAATGTGAGATTGCCTTTACTTAAATCATTCTTATTCTCTTCTTCTTCTTCTTCTTCTTCTTCTTCTTTTTTTTACCTTTTCCAAAGCAGAAAAAAAATACATATCATGAATATCATGAAGAGCTATCAGCTTTAACTCTGACATTCAAGGATTTTGACAGTTTGCATCACTTAAAGTTGTATTTATTATTCAGTTAACTTTATAGAATAGATGCCCTTTATGAAATGTGAATTTTGAAAAGCACAAAAGTGTTTCAGGATTTCAAGCAGCTAAAGTTGTTTGAATTCTGCAAACAAATAAGAATAGTTTTTCAGAAGAAAAATGTGGTGCAAAAATTATTTTACATATAATATTTGAAGCATTTTACCTGATTGACCTAGATATTGTATGGGAATTTTAAAAGAGCTATGAAAACCTTGAAAATGTTCCAAGGTAAATAATTAATGGATGGTATTTTTCTATAACATAAATTGAGACAGCTCATTTTATAAATACAATTACATAGTTACTTTATTATTTTGGAGCAGATTAAGCTCTCTTCCTGAATATTTTAATGATGAGGAGATGTTTATATTTCCAAGGGTTCTGATTTAGCTCTCTATTCAGTTTTCTTGTTAAATTCAGCATCACGAGCCCATGTGTGTGTTGTATATTTTCTTCCTAACACCCATGAGAAGATACATACCTTTATAAAAGAAGACATATCTTTTAAAACCAGTGAATGATTAAAAGAAAAACAAAAAAGGCAAAATGACGGCAATTTTTCTTCAGTTGAGATATTGCAGTGGGCCCACCTTTCATTAGCCTCTGAAGAAGCTATGCTCCCAAAAATTTCCCTGCTAATGCAATAGTAATCC